TGTAACAATTACTGCAAAAAGTACACTTCGAAGATTTTCTATTTCGATTTTTAAAATGTTCGAACCGTTTTAAATTCGAATTTGTTATTGCATATTGGTTCGATTATAGAATGATTGTAAACGTTCCAGAAAACTGATCAAATTGAAAATAGTTCGTTTGACTGGACGTGAACAGGAGACGTTCAGAAATAGAATCGGGACCAGGTCTCTAATTAGTCTGAAAACTTCATTCTGTGAAAACGGGTAAGATTGGCTATAATGTAATTATCTTAATCTTCACTATCGTTACTTTTTGTCCACAAATAAAAACCCAGCGAAGCAGGTCTTTGCAGCTAGTATTAAATAAATGCAAATCAATTACATAAATTGATTTTTATTAATTAATTTGATGTAAATTCAACTGCAGCGCATATCAAAATATGGAAACAGTATCTTTTCCACATGCGCATTGAAATCTAAATTAAATAACATCAATAATTTGTGTTGTGAAGTCTAATGATGTGAGATAATCTCGGTATCACTAACTTCTAAATCGGTAGTGCTGTCATTAATTGGTTGGGCTGTTGACTTTCTTTAACATAGGAAGTATAGTGAGTTGACCATCTTTGTCTCTTTAATCTGTAGCTGGGTCTGTCCAAATAGCTTGTTCAGCAACCAAGTTATCATATGGCAGAATTTCAAACTCTTAATTGCCTTGGTTGCAAGGCAATTAAGAGTTTGAAATTCTGTTCATGAACCAATTTGTTCAAAAAGTGAGTCATTCAAAAACTGAGGTTTGACTGTATATGTATATGTATATATATATATAAAGCCTGTATGTAAAAATATTTTAATTAGGATGAATAGTTTTTTGAAATTTAGTATTCCAGCATCAAATCCAATTTAAATTCAAACAAAAAAATATGAACTGTTTTAAATAAATCAAACAGCTTGAGCCATAAGAGTTCTTTCAGGTTCATAAGATTTGTAAATCAATGAAATTTTTTAAAAGATAAATAAATAAAAATATTAAAAATAGACAAAAATATCCAAATGTTAAAATAGATAATAGAAATAAACATAAAACATACAAATAAACACACAAATGAAATTGTTTACATAAAAATAGTATCAAATGTCTGTCATCGGAGGCAGATCCAGAAGAATGAAGGAGGAGTCTAACTCAAAAATTAAAAATATTTGAATAGTTATAAGTACTTTTTATTAACATGTGAAGAGGGTCAAATGGTTGAGCAGGCAACCTACCACTCTGGGGGATCTGGGATCAAATCCAGGGATGGGTCAAAAAACCCCAGAAATTTTTCAGGTGGTGGTCTGTCCAGATATATTGGACCCTGTTTCTCACCACCTGGCTGCCCCATTGTGGGCTTGCTAAAAGAAACCCTCTTAGTGTCCACAGGATGAAAAGAGTTTAAAAAAAAAAAAAAAGACAATTGTATTGCAAATGGTCCAATAAATCATATTTGCCATCATAAATGCTTTTAAAAACAACACTTTGAAATTCGAACAAATAAATTTTAATTGTGTTTTTGTCAATAGGAATAGTTTAAGTCTCTGAACCCTGTTTGTCATCCAGCACTCTGATATTTAAACCTCATTTTTAACTACAAAGTCCAAATCCATGAGTCAAGAATATTTCTATCAATTGTTTTTTCTTTAATGGAAAAATACCAAGTAAGAAACAAGAAACGATAGATATCAGAAGTTCAAAAGTTCAGGTTTATATATTTTTCCCAAAGATGAAAATGAGCCAGAATAGCAATCGATCACAGGTAAGTTCTAGTTGAACTCTGAAACTAACTTTAGTAAGCTTGCTACACCTATAATATCAGATTGAAATGGAACAGATGAAATTTTTTAATAAGTATTTAAATGAAATCCCACACACTACTTTGATGTAGTTTGTGGCAAGCTGTAATATTCATATCAATTGGGAACAAAACATTACTATCAATAGAGAAATGTCTTCACATAGACTAGAAAATAATAGCTTACTAATGGAATTACTATCAGCTTTGACACAAAACCTATAATTAGTTAATAACTTAATAACAGCATTTAGTCATTTCTCATCATTTGTACAGAGCAATAAACAAAAATATATGAGTACTTTAGAACAATGACTCAACTATAGGACAAAGAAAATTATGCTAACCCAGTCATCCTCAAATGTCTTGTAAACAATTATATATATAGAAATATATTTAATGATGATTAATAAGATAGCATAGGAAGTTAACATTTTATTGAACATGCAATTTTATTTATAATTAACTTGACTGTGCACCTCCTACATGAAACATTCTAAAACATGTTTTGTGACATCATAATTTTTAAATCCTTTGTGTTATCTATTGTTGAGCTGCAATGTGAATAAATTATAGATCTATAAATTTCCACCTACATCCATCTGTTGTCTGTCCTTCCTTAATTTTGAGAATGGAGTTAGATAGCTGAATGCTGAGACCAGATGTAGAAAGCTTAGAGGACAGGAGGCCCCAATTAACTATATATGAACTTCCAGTTGGCATTGGAAGTCATGTTATTTCAATTCAAAAATTTTTTCTGAAAGGAGTTAGATAGATGACTGGCATGACTATTGCTAGTAGGAAAGTATGATGTACAGGAGCAAGACACTACTAAGACACTAATTTGAAATAGAGAGCATATACTGTATTTTAAATTAAATAAATTAAAAATATAATTAAAAATTGCAGCCTGGCATTGTGATGATGTCACAATAAATAATTGCTCATTGCATCCCTTTCCACTTTAAAAATGTGACATAATAGACATTAGTAGCATTTTCTCACAGAGAAGTAAAGTAGATATGCATTCCAACCTATAAGTTTTAGTGTATGTTACTTGCCCTTTTAACATACATAATTCATATTTCAGGCATTCTAACATGCATACAGCAGTACATATATCTGGCATCTTTGTATGTACATATACAGTAGAGCATTGATTATCCGACCCCCGATTAACCGTCACATCGGTTAACCGACTGTTCTAGTCGACAAATTTCAAATGTCCGCTAGTGATGTGGCGCTACAATATTTGGGTATGTCTTGGCTACTTTAATATTATTTTTGTTAAATTTTTGCGTGTTTTAGCTGGCAACACTGGCTCAACCATAAAAGGGAGGCCAGTATTTAAACGAGACTTAATTTTCTAATTATGAGTGGTTGTTTGTTTTGTGAGCAATAAAATAATTTAAAAATAATTTTTAACTATACAATAGCGATGATTATTATTTAAAAAAAAATTTTGTTATGCTTAACATCGACGAAAATTCAACGCATAGTAGGTTAATAGCGATATACTAATATACTAATTACATGGGATATACTATCAATAATATACTATACTAATAATGTATTTTTTTTCATTCTTTTCAGTTATCCGACCAACCCGAGTCCCCAATTGAGTCAGATAATCGATGCTCTACTGTATTGCAATTTTAAATGCATACGAATGCTCTTAATAATAACAAACAATAATTCTTAAATAAATTTAATTTACTTCAATTATGTTATTAATATGTTATTTTTTTAACTTATTGATGTTTTCTCTAATTATTTAAATAACTTACATTTATGTTAATTTAGTCAACTTTCTTGCATCGAAAATTTTAATGAAATAATTAATTAAATGAGCAATTATTTACTGTGACAGCGTCACAATGCTGGGCAGCAATTTTCAATCACATTTTTAATTTATTTAATTTAAATATGGTCTCCACCTCAAATTAGTACTGTAGTGTCTTGTCCCTGTACATCATACTTTTCCTTTAACAATTTGAGTTGTGCTGGTCATCTATATTAACTGCTTTCAGGGAAAAAGTTTTCAATTGAAATAACATGACTTCTGGTTTGTATTGGAAATTTGTATATAGTTAATCAGGGCCTCCTGCCCCTAAGATTTCCATATTAGGTCTTGTATTTCATCTATCTAACTCTGTTCTCAAAATTATGGAAGGATAGACATCAGACAGATGGACAGACGACAGTGACAATTTACAGGTCTACAATTTTTTCAAATTGCAGTCCAAATACTGATATATTTATTAATATATTTAATATTAATTTGTGATTAAAAAATATACATTAATTATAATGAAGTAATCTGTCATATATTTTTATATCTTTAAGATACTTGTAATAATTTAAAATAACTTTAGAATTAATTCGTTATAAAAGATTAAAAACAACTTACTTTACGCTGATCAACTAAATGGCCAGGATGACCATTTGGTGCTGAATTTGCTCTATTTAATCTTGTTGGTGACAAATCTAGGAGACCAGGTACTTCACCAGGAGAACTATCTCTAGATGTAGGTGCAGATAATTTACCTATAATAGGATTTGAAATATCTTTTTGAAGATCATCAAGATCTAAATCAGTTATATCTCTTGAAGGAGATAAGGATACACTTTTGTTGTTATCTATTTGATCATCTTGCTTTCTATTTTTTTCATTTACTTGTTTTTCTGCATTATTTAAATAAATTCCACTTTGTGCAGCTAGTTCTTCTTCTTCTTCCCCATCAGAGTCAAAAGGATTCATTAACTGTTTTCTTGTCATTAATTTCATTTTATCCTGATTTCCAAGAATCCTTTTTTCTGTAGTGTCAGGTTTGGATGGAGCACTATTTTTATTTTGTGTAGACGTAATCGAATTATTCTGATTATCTTTTGCTACCTGTTTCTTTTTGTGTAGTTTTAATAAATCACTAGACTTTAATTTTGAAATCAACACATTTTCAGATACTGTGTGAGTAGTTTTTGTTGTTAAATCTATTTCTTCATGTGGCACATTATTAATGGTATTTATAATTTGATTTTGTGAAGCTATTAAATTAAGATTTGTTTCATTTTTAAGATTTTCTATTTCTATGACATTACTTTGCTGACTAGAACATTTTGAAAATTTTTCTGCAATATCATTAGAGTCTTCTTTTTGTCCAACACTATTCTGTGCACTATCTTCATCACTTTCTTGATCCCTGATTGAATGTAAAGAATCTATCGTTTGGCATATTTGCTGAACTTTCTGATCCTGTCCCATAAAATGTTCTCGTAGTTGATATAAATAAGTCATTACAGCCAATTTATCTGGAACAGGAAGCATAACCATATCTGACGGTTCAATTAATTTAGGTATTCCAAGATTGAAAGCTGCTTCAAAAGCCTAAAAATATAAATATAAGACAATATTTGTAGATAATATTTAAGATATACTATAAATATACTTAAACACTGTACTATACTTACTAATGAAGTAAAAATCAATAAATAGTAATAATACATACACAAAATAAGAATGAAGTAATGTTTACAACTTATAATTTCAACTAATCAAATTACTAAAAAATTACTACTGTACTAATGTATAAGTTCTTTTGATAAAATAAACTAAATGTATTCAAACTACTAAATTATAAAGCAATAATATTTAGTATAAAATAAAAAATTGTGTAAATTGGCCATCATTATAAACAGCATAGTTATAATTAAACTTCTATTATCCTATCAATACTATATGGAGAAGAATATATAGATTACAGTGAAACTTGGAGGACATGTTCTCCAGAACATAAAGAAGATATGCAAAATGTTAGTTTCAATTTTGGTCATCAGAAAACATGAATATCACAGTGCAACATAAAAAAAAAACATATCTTTCACAAATATCACAAAAAAAGATAATGTGTGTATACAGAAAAATATGTTTGGATAAAAATAATTATATGTTTACAAATAAATTTTTCTATATTGTAATCATTCTGATAATAAAAATTTACTGACAAAGCAGTCCAAAAAACTTGTTTTCCAATATTTACAACTTAAATCTTGAATAGCATCTTTTACATATTAATTTAACCATTTATAAATTTGCAGAATATCTGCAGATATGACATCAATTTTAGTACAAGCAAAAGAATAATAATTTTATTTTTTTGTAAAGTAATCTTTTGCTTATTTCGAAAAACGTGCAGAAGAAAGTTAACATTTTGAAAGAAATATAACTTTGCAAAGAACAAGATGTTATGAGATTGTCTATATTAAGACAAGACAAAGAAGATAAACTGTATGGAAGAGCTGTACTAGCATTTTTTTATTTATATTGTTTCGTGTGTTCTATTTCTATATTACTTATGAATTAGAAGTCACATAAGGTGGGAATTTTATTGAATTCACATAAAAAATATTTTTTTATCTGTTCAACTCGGCATCCCAAGATTAAATCTTGAGTGCGCATTATTATCAAGCATACGTAATTGATTAATTCTTCCAATATTTTGATTAGCTTATTCAACTCTGCATTTTATTTGTTTTTACTCAATTATATATACATATATATAATTTCTTTCCAATTTTGATAATTTTTCTATTGATTTATATTGATGGAATACAATGAATAAAATTACTCAAAATTATATTATTTCAAAAATTAAATTTATTCCTAAACTAATAATAATAATATTATTATTAATTTATTCTTTAAAGAAGTAACAAAATTTAACTCCTACTATTTTGCAATTTCCTTTAATATCATGAGGTGAAAGACTTGAGAAATCTATTAAATCTGGGCGGAAATGATGAATTATGGCACAGAAAGCCATTCCATTTCTCCATGAAGTAGTCATATTGGTAACCTTTACTCCATGATAACCTTCTGTAATTTCCTTGCACCAGGATAGTAATTCTTCAAGAGATGACATCACATTTGGCTCTTCAAGCTCAACTTTATTTTCTGAACTAAATTAATTATAATAATAATAATAATAATTACAATTATCATTACTTTTAAAACCTATGATTAAATTCATTAAAATTATCATTTACAATAGTTTTAAGTACTTTAAATACTTATAATTAAATAAAAACTTGATATTTCTATTACAAATATATTAATACTAAAAAATCTAAATTATCTTTTTATCAAATAAAACTCGATAATTTTATTTGATAAGAATATATTTTTATGTGTTACTCAAATATAATTTTATTGTTTAAATATTGATCTATAGAACAGTTCTAGAGTTCAAATTAATAAAATAATTTATTCTTGCAAAATATTTACATTAAAATTTGAAAAATAAAAAATTATATATATATATATATGAAAAAATATTGCAATGCTATTTAATTTATATTGAAATCAGAACTGTCAATACTTAAATTTTACAATATAAGTATGCTTTAAAATATAAATATAATAATTATAATCTCTAAATACTGGATTTTTTAAAACTATAATTTGGCATTTAAATATTTCATTAATAAAAATTCAAGTGAAAAAGCTATATATTGTGCAAATCTATATATCTTGCAAATCTGTTTGGACTAATCTAAAAATAACCCCATACAACTAATTGTTGTACGGGGTTATTTTTGGATTCATGAAAACTTCAGATCAGAATGATTCTGTATAAAGAACATAAAAGTTAGAAAAGGCTACAAAAATGTATATACAGTTGAGTCTGCATAAGTCGACACCCAAAGTGGAAGTGGAAATGTGTCGAGTTATCTGATATGATGACTAAAATAAAGCTGGAAAAAACCACAAAACTACAATTAAGAAAATACAGTAGTGCTTTATACAGTACATATAATGTATCTTTCTGACCATCTATCTCTGGCAGTAAAGTTGGTTTCTACTCCAAGTACCTCAGTGATTTCCATCACTTTTTGTTTAAGTATCGGCCCTGAAACAGGAAGATTCAATGAATGAATTTGCTTTAGCCAACATACCAGAGCATCTTCAACATCTTTGTACGATGACTTTCTCTGGCATTTTTGAGACAGCTGTGACAAAGACCAAGAAAAAGTTTCTTAATTTCTTTTTTCTTCAGAATTCCCACCAATGTTGTTCTTAGAAGGTTTTTTTTTTTGTTTTGCAAATTCGGCTTGCGAAGTTTTATTACATTCAGATACAAGTTTGTATTTTTCCTTCAGAGTAAGAGTTGTTAGGTTTCAAATATTTATTTCTAAGAGAAATGTGAAACACTTGCTGCAAATAACGCATGAATAAAAAGTGAGAAAATGCAAAATCAGATTCTGCTATGACGTTAAGCTGTGTGGTGTAAACTTATTTTTTTCAGGAGGTAAGTTGACTTATCAGACGTCTAAAGAAGTATGGGACAAAAAAAGTATGTTAATTTATCCATTGGTGATGAGTTAAACAGTGTCGAGTTCCATTGGTGATGAATTAAACAGTGTCGAATAAACCAGAGTTTTTTAACATTAATGCCTATGTAAGTTGACCACAGAAAACAGACTACTTAACCGATGGTGTCTAGTGTGATGTGCACACGAAATTAAGAGTTAACCACAAAGGTAGACAAGATATGAAAACAATGAGATGATATATTTCCTATCTTGCATCTTGATACAGATTCCTATTAGGGATTCCAATGTCACAGTACAATATGATGGTGTACAAATTTACAGCATGAACAATAGTTTGGTATATCCACTACACATAGAAGGGTCCCGATCGCGACAATATGATCAATCCCAAACCTTAAAACTAAACTTAAATATTAACTTATTACTAATAACAGAAAAGGATAGATGTAAGAGAATGTAAGAAAGAATATATAGTATAAGAAAAGATACCCGGGGTTTTTCGGCATATTACTCTCTGCCTATTTGTTGGATGGGATGCCACACGTTATTCCTATATAAATGGTCCATTGTGTTATTCTTCAATAAAATCCTGTCTGTGTCTTCTTTTCTTTTGCTTAGTATTTTCTTTCCACTGTCTCATTGATACTACCTTAAGACAGGATCCTCTCTCTAAACTTCTTTCTGATATCTCCGGTCATCGCTAACGCGACTCGGAGTGTTCTACACCATGTCTGTACGCATTCCAGTCCTGGCAAAGAATGTCCTGCCTGTTGTCTTTTTGTCCTCAAGGTACTGTTATCTCCTTTGTTTCCCTCATTTCTCGGAACTGGTCATCCCACACAAAGGAAAAGGATTAGATAAGAAAATTCTAGAAGGAAATAGAACAATAGAACAAAGGATAGAAAGGAAAAAACTAAACTAAAATTATTATTTACAAAAAATATGGCATACAGCCATATTAGTTATACCTATGACGACTTATGCAGACTTGACTTTATATATATTTTAAAAATTGTTTATGCAATACTTGGTGCATATATTTATGTTAAAATGGATTTATGAAATTAATACATGTTAGATAGACATCATGCTTTTTAAACATAATCAGTGATTTTCTTTTTGGGATGGAACATTTAGTGGTAAATGAACAAAATTGGTTTATATTAAGCAGAGTTTGAATTAGTGCAAATTTGGTTTACTGAAAATGCACTGCATTTGTATAATTATGATACAGTTGAACTCAGTTATAATGAATAAGGATATAATGAGTTCATGGTTATAATGAGCAAGACACCATAAAAATTTTAATTTATGCATATTTCCATACATTTTCTCACAATTATAATGAGGGTACTTCATGGATATACTGAATAAATTTTCAACAGTAATGCAAACACACAACATTCTTAATTGTTCAAGTAGTAAGAAATGGAATATCAAATTCTTGGAAGAGAAAAAACTGAAAGGGTTACTTAGTTTCATGACCACTAGATAATTAGTTTTATGACCACCATCAATTACAGTCCTATTTATGACTTAACTTTCTTTTTGGAGACTATTTCCTCTTTCTTGACTAACATCTGGCCCTACTCTTCCGATTTACCTAATCATCACTACGATTGTAAAATTACCATATACTCTAGTAAGAAACGAATCATTATATGAGAAAGATGTCTATAAAGAAAAGAAAATGTCTCTCAGTTTACAAAGAATTAGAATATGGTGCTAAAAATGTTGAAGTGTGTAGAATGTTTTCTTTGTTGTCTTTGATAGTATTGACATTATCGAAAAATAAATTGTTTAATATTGTAGTTTATATAACTATTAATAAAAATATAGTATAATATAATTATATATATGTGTGTGTGTGTGTGAATAATTCTTCAATCCTTTTGTCTTCTGCTTTCCAGCTGACTATCCGTTTGCCTCAGGTCCAAGACAAAGAATGTCCTTTTTCTCCTCTCTGTAATTGTGGGAGCCCTCAATCTTCATGAGTAATTTTTCCATGTGGATGACCCTTTTGTTCTCTAAATATCTTTCAACCTGGGGTGAAACAGGTGGCTGCATATTTCCATTTACTGTTCTATATTTTGAATCAACTTATTTAGAATTAAAAATTAAAAGCTAGATTTCACTAATTATCAATGGCCTAGCTATAAATTTTTCTGCCCGCAGGATGCTCCCTGTATGTTTGCATCCAAGCATCCACCCTAGTTACATCACTGCTTGTCACAGATATAACAAGTAACAGTTATAATGAGAAAATTTTGCCAGTCCCCTAATGCTCATTATAACTGAGTTCAACTACATTTAGAAAACACTTTTGAATAACTTTATTTTTTTCATGATAATTTTGTTTTTATTTTAAAGATTCAAAATGTCTTTAGTGCTTTATTAGTATTATTTTGTTACAAAATTATCTTATAATGTCTAATAAACTGTTCATAGAAACCATTTCTATTTAAATAGCCTGTAATTTTATCATTTTTGTTTCAAAGACTAACTCCTTGGGACTTTACCAATTTTTAATATTAATGTAATTAAACATAAAAAATACTTAAAACTGGAAAAAAAACGAAAGAAATGCATTAATTTTGAAGAAAAAGCTTCAAATTTTATTTTCCATTGTCTCGCCTTTCTGTGAAATCTGACACCAATGAGTCATTGTGTTTACAGCTGGATGACCTTGAGAACAGCTGGTGTTGGATTTCCCGGGACATTCTCATAGAAGTCTCAGGAGGCGAAGGGTTTATAGTAGGGTGAATACTAGCTGATCGTAAATTTTTAAATATTTTTAAAAAATTAAAATTTTTATTGAGTTATTTATGTGGGTTGGATGATATAATCTGTATTCTAGCAATGAATAACCCAAATAAAACAAGTCATTACTTCGACGATTAGCTTACAAGGAAAATATCTTAAATGAATTTTTCATTTGTCCTTTACGGAAAACTTAAAATCTTATAAATTACAAGAAGGTAAAACATTGAATAGGAATAATAAAATAATAAATACGTGGTTATAAGTAAGAAAATTTATAATAAAATTCATTTACGCTTTCATAAATATACTATTTTTTAATATATACACCCTCTTGTAATAAAATTAAACTAATACTAACAAATAGTGAATTACATCCTTTAAAAGTTAGATTTTGTTTATTACTATCTACAATTTTATCATAACAATTACAGAGAAATATATACAGTATTATATTACATTTATATGTAATATAAAGAATTTCATAATATATATGTTCAAACATATATAGATATTTATATATGTATGAAATAAGTATACGTACAGTACACGCATAAGTATGTACACATACTGTACGTACAGTACATACATAAGTATATAAGTACAGTATATACATATATACGCACATATACAGGATCTGGAACATAGGAGTTATATTAATTTTTGTTTATTCTTTATTGGGACCCATAACTTTTTGCTGACTGCGGGTCTTAGTATCAAAATAACATGAATTCGTTGCTTTTTACTGAGCACCATTCTTTACCTGTAAAAAAATAAACAAAGATTAATATAACTCCTATGATTCCAGACTTAGGGAGCACTATATAGTTCGAAAACTTTTCTTATACAATATAATTTATATATTT